ATAGCATATTGGCACGAACAGCGCCCACTGATCGATCATCGGGCATACTCAACTTCACACTTGATGCAATGGAGCAGGCCAAAGTGTTGACGCTTCGCGTATCCACCCGACCAACCAATTCAGATTGCATTAAAAGAGGGTCCCCGCGAGATGGTCCTGACTGAGAATCCTGAGGATGATAATCTTTGTAATGATAATGATGATGATCATGATGATGATGAGCATGATGACGATGATCATGATGATGATCATGATGATGATCATGATGATGATGATGATCATGATGATGATGATCGTGATGATAACCATGGCAACTGCAGAATGGGATGGCAAATCAAAGGGGGTCAATCAAGCTCTTGGGGGCCATCTTGGAGCTCATGGCCATCTTGGATCTTGGGCCAACTTGGGCTGCCCAACAACCTGCAGCCACCCGGGTGCAGGTCCAGGGGAGGTGGCAGGCTGTATGCACGCAGCCTAATGCCCATAGGGCAGGTGGGATTCAGAGTTCCACGCCATGAGGGTTTGCAATCGAAAAGTGCATCTGCATACTGGAGGCCTCAATTGCATGTTACAGGTTGCGTTGTGGATGGCGTGAGAGAATTCTGGTTTCTGTCGGATTGCACACTCCCCAAGAATGCGAACACTCAGATAACAATGATATCGACTATCCTTCAAGGCTCGTCCGAGATTCTCCAAGACCGCCGGCGGAATTTTCCAGCGGTTCTTCGATGTGTATCGGGCAACGCATCTGGTGAAACAAAGAATCAGATTGTTTGTAAGTTTCTTGCTTGGTTGGTATTCAAAAGGAAAGTCCAGAGCGCAGAGATGGCGCAATTTCGTCCCGGACACACGCACAACCGCCAGGACCAACGATTTTCTGTTTGCGGCACTGCCATCGTGAAACCCACTACGCACTTGCAGGACCCCTTGGAGACGATTGGCGATTTCGCAGAGGTGATCAATAATAAGGTTGCTGAGGGTGAATGCCACTGCCTCCAGGGGGCCTCCAGGGGGCCTCTTCAGGGAGCCTCCGAGTTTCCATCGGGCCTCCACAGTGGGAGGATGACTGGAATACTGCTGAGAATGAGGAGGGGTAAGTAAAAGGGAGAGGCGAGTATCAGGAGGGGGAAAGGACAGATCAGGAGGAGGAAAAGGGGGGAGGATAAGGATGAGCTTCGATACTGCCTTTGCTGCTTGGCCCGTTGAGGTCCCTGGTGTCCCTGGCCTCCCTTGTCGCGAAGTTGTTCACCTTGCAGCAGCGTGGAATTGGGCTGAGTTCTTTGATGGGCTGAGTATCAGCATGCATGGCCACACCAATACGAAGGCAAATAAGGACTCAAATGAAACAGCTGTCCATGTATTTCGTTTCGTGCTGCGGAAGGACGTTGACAGCTTGTGTTTCTCGGAAGCCCCACTTGTTGATGATATCGCCACTTCTTGGCCACATCTAAGCCCTCGGCCAGATGATGTTATTCTTATAACCAAGCTGTATATAGCGTCTACATCACTGAGCCAGGAACCCATCGTGTTCTGCCCTGGAGAGTTTATGGAGACATTGAACATCGCGGACCTACCGCTGGCGAAGTCAGCTGTGCTTTCAGCCCGCCAGGCAAAGGAATTGGCGAAATCTGCTGCGTTTCTCAAGTCGGAACCTCTGAACATGTCTAGTGCTTCAGCATACCTGAACTCGCTAATCGATTGCGATGGTTCACCCCAAGGTACCCCGCCGCCCTGCCCCTGGTTGTTTGAAGATGCGAAGGTCCAGGATTTCGAAGTGGTTGGTTTGGAAGAATTTGTTGCCCCATCATTGCCAATGAGCTATGGGGACATCTCAAACATTGGCAACCCAAGTGCAGCCCGCGTTTCCGTTGATGAGGCCCCTGCTAGAAAGAGGCTGCTGGCCAGGCCAGCAGCAGCTCGGGTAGTGCGCCGTAAGCCTGCATCAGTTGCTGAAGCTTCGGCTGGGGCGCCACCAGCTGCCATGGAGCCAATGACACCTCCTGGTTCTGGCGTGCCTGCTGCCAGATGCGGGAAGTGGGGCGTTCCAGATCTGCAGCCCGGGCAGAGGCTGGGTTGCTCTAAGCGCAGGTACCTTGCGCACGGTTGCGGGGAGTGTCGCAGAGCATTAGGTTGGACCAAGGTTGGCCCGAAGAAGTGGGTCGTTCCCCCCTAGCAGTTGATTTGATATCAGGCTTGCTTCCAGAGCTTGGGAGTGCAAAGTGTGACAAATAGGTAGAGGGGTAAGGAAAGAAGGAGGAGGAGAAGGGTAAACAGGATGAGGAGACTAAAGCGGAGGAGGGGGATACATGGCATGGCGTAGCAAAGCAATGCAAAACCATTGCGCGTCATGGGCCAAGACCACGCACATGCACGCACGCACGCACTCGCTTGCATCGAATGCCAGAGTTCAAACATAAAATAAATGCGAGGGGCCAAGGCAAGCCTCGACCGCGGGGGAACATCACATCCCCCTCCTCCCCCCTCTTCCCCCCCCCCCCCCCCCCCCCCCCCCCCCCTCCTCCTCATCACCATTTTCATCTAGCCTTTTGGGCTCTGCGTACACACGCTTGAGCTTTCAGGCTCCATACTTGTTCGCTGCTGGGCAATGCAGCCACCTGCACCTGCGCCTGCAGATGTTGTGATCAATGATGGTGAGGATGATGCTGAATCTTCAGATGGCGTGGAATTTGTGGAAGATCGACGGTGGCCAACGGAGCCAAGGATTCTTGCCTCAACTGTATTTTTCTGCTTGAGATGTTTAGTCCTCGTCGTGTTGCTCCAGTTTTTGAACGTGTTAATGGTGGGACAGGTGTGTCTGTAGATGTGACCAATGGGTGGGATGCCACTGATTTCAGCGATCGTGCAGCCTTGTGGCAATGGATCCGAAGCGCAGCCCCGCATGTTGTCATAGGAAGCCCACCTTGCACCATGTTCAGCACCCTGATGGCATCGAATCGCCACAGAATGGGCCGAGAGGAATGGACTTGCCGATGCTCTGAAGCGCTAGGATTTTGGCATCTGACAATTGAAATTTGTAAGTTTCAGCACCAGTGCGGGCGAGGCTTCATTGTGGAGCACCCAATTGGTGCATCCAGCTGGAGCGATTCTTACATCGATGATTTCTGGGCAGCAAGAACATGTATGACAACAGTATGTGCACATGGTGGTTATCTGTGTAGTTTCCAAATGTCAGTGTTTAATGAATGTTGTCATACGTATTGTTGCTGCCTGTTGTGCGTGCCATTGCTGAGTTCTCTGTGTTTGATCAGTGTCGCTATGGCTTGACGGCGCCGAATGGGCAGCCCATGCAAAAAACAGCCCGCCTGCTGTCTAACATGCCAAGCGTTGCCCTCGAATTTAACAATAAGAGGTGCACGTGTCAGACAGCTCACGTGGTTGCGCAGGGAAGTATGATGGGTGTGCGCCTGAGCATGTGGGCGCAGCGCTATCCTGTGCCTATGGTGGAGGCGCTGGCCCAGTGCAGCCACGCCTTCTGCGAGTCACGCTGGCCAGACTCTGGCCAGACGCTGGGATCGTAAGTACGATACATGACATAACTAACATATATATATATATATATATATATATATATATAGTTATATATATAACTATACATATATATATAGATACATACATACATATATATATATATATATGAGGCACCAACGAGATCAAATAACTCGATCCCTGGGAGAGCTTCAGTGAGGCCAATAAGGGGCCCAGGACTGCCCCTGCAACCCCAGATGTTTCAAAACTGCATGCATTCCAAAGTACAAAAAATAACGATGAGGAATAGTAGCAAGTAATTCTTCACGCTTCGCGTATCCCCACCAGCCCATCTCAAAACAGCAACTCTAGCGAAGCATGCCGACAGTCGTGTTTTTCAGGCGTGTTTCCGCCTGCCCCCGCATATCTCCCCTGTTCCTCCTTCCTCCCGCCTCCTTGTACATCCTCCTTGTGGTGGGAGCGGGAGAAGGACGAGGCGGAGGAGGAGGAGAGAAAGCGCTCCTCGTGGTTTGAGTCGTTTGGGGTTTCTCGTCCTGGTGTGAGTCGTTCGGGCCCTTCTTCCTGGTGTGAGTCGTTCGGGCCCTTCGTGGTGTGAGTCGTTCGGGCTCTTCGTCCTGGTGTGAGTCGTTCGGGCTTCTCGTGGTGTGAGTTGTTCGGGCCCCTCGTCCTGGTGTGAGTCGTTCGGGCCCCTCCTCCTGCCCGTCCAGAAACGACGCCCAGGCGAGTATAGGGTCGTCCTGATGGGCTTTTCGGCGTCTTGGGTGCCTCGGGGGTGCCTCTTTGGGCCGTTTGGGATCCTCTTGGGGGCCTCCTGGGGGCCTCTTGGGGCCATCTTGGGGCCTTTTGGTGCCTCCTGGGCGCTTCTTGGGGCCATCTTGGAGGGAATCGATCAAAGAAGAGGGGAGCGATGAGGAAGAGTAGCAAGTAATTTCTGATGATGATGACGGCGTCTCCAACAGAACCACTAGGCAGCCACCCAAGTCCAGAAGCCAGCCACCCAAGTGTAATGATTAGCGCTTCTGGGACGATGGTGGCGCTGCCGCCGGCGGGGGGGGGGGCGACGTCCGATGCGTCGACGAGGGCGCTCCACCTACTCCGAGGGGAGCCCCGCCGGCCCCGGTGGCGCGTGACCCCCTAGCAGCCGGCTTCCACGGGGCCGGCTAGGAGCGGCGGGTGCCAGACCAGGCTCCTCCAGGCGCAGGCCGACTTCGGCTTCCTCGCCGCCGAAGCTTGGAAACTAGCCCGCAAACGGAGCCCACTCGAGGGCGGCGCCGCGTTTCAGGAAGCCGCGGAAAGGCTGGCGGAGGTGCATGTGGCCGTGGGACAGGAGGGAGGAGCGTGAGTTCAACAGGAGGCTTAGGGAGGAGGGGCTGACCCGCGCGCCTTGCGAGACGCTGAACCAAGCCGACCGCTTCCTGGACGAAATGGGAGCGACGTGGAGCCCAGACTATCGCCTGGGGCGCGCGGCCCGCCGTTCGGATGACCCCTGGTCACCCCTGGTGCTTCCAGGGCCCGTGCGACGCAGAGCTCCGCGGGAACCCCTGGTGCATCACGCGGCAAGCTGGGAAGCTGGGCCTCCGCTGGAAGGCTGGGCCTCCGCTGGAAGGGGGGCAGGTGGGCCCGAACGTACAGGAGCAGGGAACACGGCTGCTCGCGCGCCGCCGCCAGCCTCCGGGACCTCAGTCTCAGAGCCGCCGCAGCCCCTGGGACCCCAGTCGCAGCCCGGGCGATGCCGGAACCGCCGGGTGGGGGCGCTGGCATCAGGGACCTCACGTGCGAAGGAGAGCGGGCCCAACCCAGGGACGACAGCGCGGCTCAGCAGGGGGACCAGCAGGGCGACGCACCGACGTCCACCCCGTATCGCGGCCGGGGGGCGAGGGCCCGGGGCGAGGTCGCGGCGCCCCCCTCGGACGCGGCGCGCGCTCTGGAAGCCGCGACTTCGAGTTCCCCGCCCCGCCCAGCGAGCGGGCCTCCGGAGGCCGCCGAGGCGGCCGGGCGCGCCGCCACGGGCGCGGCTGGGGCCGCCGCCAGGCCCACCGAAGCCGCCCCGGCGCCGCCCGGGGGAGACTGTCTCCCCTCCCCTCCGGGCGAGTGGGCTTCCGGGGGTCGCCTAGGCGGCCAGGCGTGCCGCCGCAGGCGCGGCTGGGGCCGCCGCCGGGCCCGCAGGGGGTCCGCTGTGGGTCCGCAGGAGGTGCTTTGCTTTCCTTGAGTGCCTCAGGATCTGGGGCGCCGCGCGGGCTGATGCTGCTGATGATGATGACGATGGTGATGGTGATGATGATGATGATGATGTTGTTGTTGTTGATGATGGCGATGATGCTCATGCTGCTGCTGCTGCTGCTGACGATGATGATGAAGATGCTGATGACGATGCTGCTGCTGCTGATGATGATGACGATGATGATGCTGCTGATGCTGCTGATGATGATGACGATGATGATGCTGATGGTGATGACGATGCTGCTGATGATGATTAGGTTGATGCTGACGATGCTGCTGATGATGTTGATGCTGGTGATGATGATGCTGATGAGGATGATGCTGCCGATGCTGCCGATGATGATGATGATGATGATGATGATGATGATGTTGATGATGATGCTGATGATGATGATGCTGATGGTCATGATGATACTGATGATGATGTTGATGATGATGCTGATCATGATGACGATGATAATGATGATGATGAGTTCGTTCTTGATGATGATGATGGTGTTGCTGTTGCTGTTGGTGTTGCTGTTGCTGTTGATGATGATGATGTTGTTGATGATGATGATGATGATGCTGATGATGATGCTGATGATGATGATGATGATGATGATGATGATGATGAGGAGGAGGAGGAGGAGGAGGAGGAGGAGGAGGAGGAGGAGGAGGAGGAGGAGGAGGCGTGGCCCCCCCCGCAGGCCAGCGAGGCAGCCCGACGCGCCCGCCTGGTACCAGGCCCTCGACCTCTCCGGCCCGAGCGACCATCGGGGCGGGGCGCCGCGCGCGCTCTCGCTCTAGTTGGGCTGCGATGGTGCTGGAAGCAGGGCGGGCAGCGGCTGTGCCAGCCGCGCCGGCCGCGCTGCATGCCGCGCTGCATGCCGCGCTGGAGAGGCGCAGGCGGCCAGGAGCGACGACCACATCCATACGGTAGGTTCGTGTCGTGTCCGCGCGGCTGCGACCCCGCAGCGGGAGTTCAAGCTTGAACGCCGCCGGTGGCGCAGATTCGGCCAACATAGAACGAGCCGCGCGATCGAAGAAGGCGCCGATCGTGCAAGGTCGCGCGATCCACGCGGCGTCAGAGCCCAGCGCTGGGGTCGTCACGACACGAACCTGCCGCATCCGTGCCCTCTCGGTCTGGACTTTGGGGCGCGGCCCCGCGGGTGCGCGATCCTGTGGGCGGACGCTCCGCGCGATGGGCGTCCGCCCAGGGCCGCACTGTGTCCGCGGGGCCGCGGCCGAGGCGTCCGGGCCGCGAGGCCGCGGATGTGGATGCAGCGTGCACGTACGCTAAGAAAGCTTGCCATAGGAACTCTAGACGCGCGTCAGTCGTCGGTCTTTGAGCTTTCTGAGGTGCCCAGGGCCCCGCGGGGAACAAGAAACTTCCGTGGGGCACCTGCTGACAGGGCGGTTTCTGAACTGACATGTCTACAAGGGGTCCCCTAAGCCAGGACAGTGCCAACCAGGACTTTGAACATGTCACCTGGAGAGGACGAAGAATGGAGAGCGTTTCGAGTCACGGCTGCAGTTTTCTCGGTCGCGCCAGGAATTTCTGATTTGTCCAGTTGCGCTGCAGCGCGATTCCGCCACCGCGCTCGGGCGGGCGTGGGGGGCGGGGTTGTGCCTTGGGGAGAGGGTGAGGGGGGAGGGTCCACGACCCCTCCTTCCCCTCACGATGTATCTGGGACCATTTACTGCCTGGAAGGCCGAACACGCAGGGACCTGGCTACACAAACGAGCGCATCTTGGGCTCGATGCGTCGGGGGACCTTGATCCTCGCTGCGCAAAAAGCGAAAGGGCCCGACGCACACCAACCGCTGCGAGCACGGTGGCGGATCAGAGTCCTCGCTTTCGGGGGCCCTGACTTACTGTATGAATTCCTCGCCCACGAGGTGGTGGCTGGCGGCAGGCCCCCGCCCCGTGTCCCCAGCGCTCGCGGCCCTCCCTCCCCCGACGCGGCCTGGGGCGTGGGCTCATGCGGCGGCGGTGGCGGCCGCGGTCGCCGGCGCCTCCGCGCCCGTGTTGTGCAGAGGGGCGCGCGCGCGCACGCGCGCGCGCAGCTGCCTCCGCGGCCTGCGCTGCGCGCGGGGCGCCGCGCGAGCGCTCGCCGAGGCGCCCCGGACCCACGCTCCGCAGAGGGCAGCATCCTCTGTGCACCACCGCGGTGCCCGGCCAGGGCCAACTGGGGCCCCGGACGGTGTGCTGGCCCTCCTCGGGCTGGGCCAGGACCGGGACCAATCGTTCCAGCGCGCTCCGCAAGGCCCTCAGAGCGCCCTGGAGCGCTCTGGAATGGCCGCGGCGCGGCGCCCCCCCCCCCCCCCCCATACTATATATATATATATATATATATATATATATATAATCCTCCAGAATCGCTGGATCTCAGAGGTCCCTGATTTGTTCGGGTCCGATTTTTGCGCTGGTCCTGGCTTCGTCTTACGTCCTCGCCTCGGCCAGGAGGGGCCCAGAGATCCGACGTCGCAAAACAACTGCAACATCGCGAAAACTCACGACCGGAGCCCTGGACCCCATCTCTCTGCGTCCTTTTTCGAGCGGGATCGATATGCAATGATTTGTTGGCCCGACACTGGGCAAAAACGCCCGTCGCGAAAAGTTGCAACGCCCGGATCGCAGGGGCGGTGCCACCGTGCCAGGGGCTCAGGGAGGCCCTGGCCGTGCGCACGGTGGTCGTGTGCAGATGCTTTCCTCTGCCGCAGCCTCAAACTCGGCCGACCGCCCTGGGGCCGCCCCCCTGGTCGCCCGAGGCCGGCGCGGGGGCCCTTGTTTTCTCGGTGGCCTTTGTTTTCTCGCTGGCCTCCAAGTTGGCCCCAAGGCGGCCCCAAAGGCTCCTAAGAATGCACACAATGGCCCCCACAGAGGCCCTCATGACGGCCCCCAAGAGCCGGCAAGAGGAGACGGCACAAGCACATGCTTTCAGAGGTCCGCGCAGGTTTCTTGGGTCGACGCTGGGCTCCTCCCCTCCCCCATACCATCCCACGTCCCTTTCCCCGTCGCGCGCCAGGGGTGGCGCCACGCCAGAGGCGCCGCCAGAAGTGTGGGGAGGGGGCTCCGGCGCAGGCCCAAGAAGTCCGCGCGGGCTGCCGCACGCTCGTGCTCGTGCCGTGTTCTGATCCTCTACGCGCCGAGCCACGAGCCACCGCCCCGCGGAGCCTGCACCGCCGCCCCCCCGCCCCCCCCCCAAAGCCTCAGGGTGCCAGTGTGCCGAGGGTGGCCTTGGGCTGGCGGCCCCCCCGCCGCCCCCTCTCACAGTGGGCTGCTCACGCAGTCAGAGGCAGAGGCCTGCAGGGTGGGTTTCGAGCAGCACGCATCTTCGCCCGGCCTTGCCTCGGAGAGCCAAGATGTGGATTACCATGATACCAGAGAAGGGCCCCAAACGGTTGCCTGCGCGTAGCCAGTAAGGGTAGCGCGCTGGTGACGGGCGAGGGGAAAGGATCATGAACGTGGTTCGCTGTTTTCGCTACTCTCTGCACTCTTCTCTCTGCTTTCCGTTCTCTACTCTCTACCACACTCTACTCTTTGCTCTCTGTCCTCCGCTCTACATGTGATGTCTTCTCTCCACCCTCTACGCTCAACCCTATACTGCTACTCTCTAATGTCGTCTCTCCTTACTTGGCTCTCTACGATCTTGTGATCTGCACCCTGCACCCTTCGCTCTGCTCCATGTTCCCTGCTTTCTACGAGCTACTCTCCACCCAATCACTTTTCTGCTTCTCTACTCTTCCTACTTGGCTATTTTCTATCCAGTCGCCTTCGGTCCCTCCCACTGCCGTGCCTTGGTGGTGGGTCAGAGTCCTTTTGGATGCATCTTTGGGTCTCTTGGAATACCTCGTAGGGGTATCTTGGAGGTCCCTCCGGGTCTCTTGAGGGCCTCTTGGGGATCTCATTGGGCCTCTTAGGGGGCCTCTTGGAGGCCTCTCGGAGGCCCGTGGGTCTCCGAAAGCCTCTTGGGGGCATCTCGGGGGCCTCTGGGGAGCTCTTGGGAGCATGCGGGTGTCTTGGGCTACATTCTTGGGGGATGGGCGCCCAAGGCACCTTCGTGGTACCACCCTCTGGGCCGAACACATTGAAAGACTTTGTTTTTCAATGGGCCCTTGGGGAAACGTCACGCCAGGCGCTCTAAGCCAAAGAAGCACCTGGAGCTTGGGGCTCTGGGACCTTCAGAAGAACATCATAATAATTATCCGATGCAGAGAATCACAGAGGATCTGTCGACTCCTGTCCCAGGCTCCGTGGGTCTTTCGAATGGACCAAAAATTTTGTGCCCAACCCTGGGATGTACGATGGGGGGGTGTTCATCCTCGATAAGGGGTTCGTCCGAATAGCCCCCTAGGGGTGTATCCCAGGGTTTCCCTCCTTTCCTGAGCGGGTTCATGTTTCATCGAAGAATCAGGGACTGGGGGAGAAAATCGCCTGCGAGAGAACTCGAAGGGACCTGAGGACACCACGCTTTTTCTCGGACGGTCGCTTGCCCAGCTTATTTTTTTCCGAGGGGGAAGGCCACCTGGACGCCTACCTCTGTCTGTGCATGCAGCGACACTCCACTCAGTGCCTCGCGGCACGGTGGCGGGTAACCTATGGCCTCCCAACTCTCTCCATTCGCTCTGCTGTTCTCTGCACTCTCTACTTCGGGAGCCTGGGAACCTGGCCGCCAACCGAAGTCGCGGGAAACTCCAACCGATATCCAAATTGGGAACCGGGGAACCTGGCCGCTCTCCGAGATTGGCACACTTTCTCGCACATGTCCTACAACTCTCGGGAGCCGAGGGCCCGGAACCGGGAACCCGGGACCCTGGCCGTCGAAAGTCGGCGGCCCCATCTGTCAAACCCCGTGCATTTCGGCGAGAACCTCGTCCTCCAGTGCGAGCGCTGATTGGGGAATGAATTTTCGGAGGTCCGCGTGGATTTCGTGGGTCGGTGTCGGACCCCCTGTGTGTCGGCGCCTCGCGTCTAGGGGTCGGGGTGCTGGCCGAAGGTCAGCGTGGAGTCCTACAGTTTTTGTTGATGCAGGGTTTGTCATTATGTTGTCATGGCAGTTCTCGTCCCAAAGACCATGACCAGATCCCCCCCAAGAGTGTAACTTGCCCGCACGTCACATCTCGCAGGCCTCTGGCGTCGTGCTTTGTTACCACGCTGGGATAGAGCTTTCTCGGCCCCACCAGCCAGTTTTGTCCAGAAGCTGCCTTCCAGAAGTTCAAATCGAGCAATCAGCTGCCCGTCGTGGTCTTCTGCGACGCCTGGAGGACTGAGTAAGCAGCACCCCCTGAGCCTGTCAGCGCGGGCCAGGCTCGGGCCCATTTGCTGCTCCGAGGCGACCCCGGAGTCGTTCCTCGCGGCGATCAGCACCTGCGCGGAGTCCAGTCAGTATACCGAGGCCTGGGGGATTTTCAAGATAGCGAAATCTCAAGGGCTTCGTCTCCTGCCGCCGGCACCTCTTTCCGATTGACAGCGAGGATGGGTGGGTGGGTCGGGTTGGTTGAAGTGGGACCTCTAGAGTTTGCGAAGCGTGCATCTGGAGGCGCTGGATCCAGGCGTTTTAGTGGCCACGAAGGTATGGACCTAAGACTTGTTAGAGAGGGATCGTGGCCTTGAGGGCGTGTTTTGTTGCTGTTGTTGTTGTTGTTGCTGTTGTTGTTGTTGCTGCTGCTGTTGCTGTTGTTGTTGTTGTTGTTGTTGTTGTTGTTGTTGTTGTTGTTGTTAGTGTTGTTAGTGTTGCTGCTGTTGTTGTTGTTGTTGTTGCTGTGGTAATTGTTGTTGGTGTTGTTGTTGCTGTTGCTGTTGTTGTTGTTGTTGCTGTTACTGTTACTGTTGCTGTTGTTGTTGTTGTCGTCGTCGTTGTTGTTTTTTTGCTGCTGCTGCTGCTGCTGTTGTTGTTGTTGTTGAACATTATTACTTCTAAAGAATAATTATTGTTGGGGCCCCTGGTGCACGCCCCCCCTGCGCCGCCTAGGCCGCAGCTACATTTTCATCATCTTCGTGAGGAAGCCTCAGGTAAAACGATGTGATCCAGATCCGGTTGTTTTGTTGTAATCCGTTTTCCCTTGCAAAAAACACTATAACATGACATTTCTTGTTCTAACATATCCAAACTTCAAGAATCCCTTGCAAAAAATAAGGTAAAGTGGACATTCGCGCGCGCAAGACGAAATCCTTCCAAAACCTTAGTTTTCGTAGCGATTTTAACATAAAAACATCAAAAAACCAATGGTTTTTCAAAAAAAAATGTCAAAATTTCATCCCGCGCGCTCTTGCGGATTCGTAGGAAACCCAACACTTTTTAAACATTTCTGTCAAACGGGCTTTTGCGAGCAACTTTTTCGAACTTCTGCAACAACGGTTGCGCACCTGCCAGGGCCATCATCCCTGTCAAATAATACCATGCGGGACACATTCGTTTTTTCTTCGCGCGCGCACGCCGTCGTCGTCGGCCGCGGGGCCCTGAATAGTAGCCACGGTCGTCCGCATGCCACGAAGTGAAGTGTCCGAACGTCATAGGGCGGGAAGCTGGGTGTGGGTGGTGGCGAAGAGTCGTTTGGAAATTTGGTAGAGCTTGAACCGGCCCCCCCACAAAGTGGGGGTATTGCCCGCCTCCTATGAAAACCCTGGCACTGGTGAGAACGGAGTGTCCCCAGTCTTAAATGATTGTTGTTGTTGTTGTTGTTGTTGGTTGCTTGTACGAGGGATCGTGCCCTCCAAGGCGGATCAGACGTTTGTTGATTATACACGGGGTCGGGGCATCGAAAACACGGATCCATTTCGCAACCATTCTGTGGTGTTGGGCCCTCGTTTTGAAGAGACATCGCCCCGCGTCCCACCTCCTCCTCATCCCGTTGCCCCTCCTCCCTCCTCCCATCCCTGCCTCTGCTCTCCGAATGTCAACGTCGGCACACCCTTCACACGTGTTGAGGCTCTATGAGGAGCTCCACCTGACGGCCCAGTGGCTGCGGTTGAATGCAGCTCCGCCACCCTTTTCGGCACACCCCTCAAACGTTTCGTGGCCCAAGATGGAGCTCCACCGAAGGCGCCCCAGTGGCTGCGCTCACGTGCGGTTCTGACTTCAATTTCGGCGCAACCCTCGCATGTTTCGTGGCACCATGAAGAGCTCCACCGAAGGCCGCACTGGCTGCGCCCGCATGCAGTTCTGCGCCCCCATTTTGGCACACTCATCACGCGTTTCGTGGCCCCATAGGGAGCTCCACAGTATGCCTCAGGGGCATTGCTAGCATGAAGTTCCGCCCCATACTTCGGCACACTCCTCACACAGCTCTGATCGTTTCTGAGTACAGTGCGCAGCGTACGGTTGCGACCGTGTAGATTGACACTTCAGGTGTTGGTAGCCCGTCGTCCTCCTCCCTCCTCCTTTGCTCGCCTTTGGCTTTTTACTCCTGGCCCTCGCCAAGGCTTTCAGCAGTGGTGATCGTGCCGGCCGTCTTTGGCAAGCATGCTGCCCACTCCTCCTCCTCCTCCTCGTCCTCCGTCCATATTGTTCAGGCATGGTCTCACGACTTTGGTGGCAATGCGAGTGGCTTCGCAGTGCAATCTGACGTGTGAGATGTGAGTGGCTGGCGGCAGGTGCGTTTCTTCATGAGGAAATCTGGCACGCTCCCCCCACACGTGTCGTGGCCCTCTAGCGGGCTCCACGGAGGGCGCCCCAGTGGCTGCGTTCACGTGCGGTTCCGACTTCCATGTCGACCCACCCCTCGCACGTATCGTGGCCTCGAAGGGAGGTCCACCGAAAGTGGTGCCACAACGCGGCACTCACAATTTCAAAGGGTTGGGTCTTTCGCCAGGAATCTGTATGTGCTGAGGGATCTCGTGGCTGTGGGAGCGCGGATCCAGTCTTCACAACGAGAGATCATGGCCTCGAAGGCTCGAATCAACATTTCCACAACGAACTTGGGCCCCGAGTGCGCGCGTTGATTTCCTGGGGACAATGGCATCGTCGAAGGTGCTTATCGAGTGTTTGTCATCCTATCCTATTTATCGGGGGGGTCTTGTTCTTGGTGTGATGTTCCTTCCTCTTGCATTCCCAGCTTCCCTCCGTCCTTCCGCCCTAAGCCCTCTCTCTGCACCGTGCCTACATTCAGATGCGAACTCGCTCGTGCTCGCACTCACTCATTATTAACTAGACGACTCATCATCCGACTCACTTTCATTTACATTCAGTCATGTTCAGGTGTACTCATATTCAGACTCATGAGTCCCCATCTATTGAGTACGGCTCCTTATTATGCACGTGATACCTCCGTCTCCTCACCTCCCTCCTCTCTCTCACATTCGCACTCACTCATGCTCGAGCTCTGTCCCTCAGATTTAGACTAAGTCAGGCTCGCTTGCTTGCAGACTCACTCATATTCAGGTTCCCGCGCAGTCGGATCCGCTCACATTCGGACCCACCTACGCTGTCACACTATGATCACCACGATGCAGCAGGCATCGCACTCGGGGCTCCCAAAGGTGAGCCGACCATGGTGGTTGCACGGGCGCCTTTGCGCCCACACTTATGGGACCTCTTGACTCGAACGGCTGTTACTGGAGGTATGCGAGTTCTGTGTCAGAGCCCCATGATCACCACGATGTAGCAGGCAGCGCACTCGGACCTCTTAAGGGGGGAGCCGACCGGGGTGGTATCGCGGGCACGCTCGTGCCCGTAATGGTGGGACATCTTGAATCGAACGGCCCTATTCGGACGTAGACGCGTTCGTCTTCATAGCCCCACCATCATCGCCATGTAGCAGGCATCGCGCTCGGTCCTTCCTAAGGTGAGCCGGCCAGGGTTTTACCACGGGGGCACCTTCGCGCCCAGATTGGTGGGGCTTCTCAGTGAGAATGGCCGCTTTGGGAAGGTAGACCCACCTTCCTCCTCTCTGTCTTCCTCCTCGCTCCGCCTGCTCCTCCTTCTCTTCCTCCGCCGTCCTTACTCTTGATCGACATCTCCTCCCTGCCGCTCCGCCAGACGTGTCGGAAGGGAGGTCTGGGTGTTTCGCCTGAGACTTCCCCACCGCTTGCGTTCCTTAAAATTTGAAATCTTCAGCAGTTCATCGATGATGGATAGCGGCTCCTGTTCGACATGGGGCTCTCGCTTGAACGCTGTGCACACTCGTTGGAACAGTTTGCAGCAGCTTCAAGCACGCAGGGCGGCTCGCTTTCAAAATGCAGTGCGTTCCTCACTGGCAATTTGCCATGCGAGTTCCTTGAGCGCGGCTTTCACTTAAGCTCACGCGAAACGCGCGCGCGTGGTTTCAGTTGATTGTAGGATTGTTCTCGTTCGCCTCCTCCTCGACCAGCTGCGTGCCTGTGCGGGCTAACAGTATTGTACCACTGAGTATTTGTCGATCTTCTCACCAGCAGCGTGCTCTCGCCTGAGCGCCCCGGACATAGGTTAATGCAGGGAGGGCGGTTTCTTCTCAAAGTGTGGCGCTCGCTGGAAATAACTTAAAGGCCCGAAGCTTGAACTGATGTAACAGCTTTACGGGGTGAGAGCGGCTCCTTTCCAAGATGAGGCGCTCGCTTGCGCCTCCTTCAAGCTGAACGAGCACGATAACACGCATTTCCGAATCATCGGGCGAAGAGAACTGTGCACATGCACCGATCCTGGCAAGGCCCATCCTTGACCCAGGATCGATGCATATGCCTTCCTGGCCAAGGCAGGAGGGCGCATGCACCGATCCTGGGCTCAGGATGGGCCTGGCCAGAGTCGGTGTACGTGCATGGTTCCTTTTCCTCTAGATCAGTTGCGCGGATGGGGGGCGTCTTCTTTTCAAAACGGGGCGCTCGTCCGTTCCTTTTCGGGGCGGGGGTCGCGCCTCAACGGCAGGCTCCTAGGGCGCTCGTCTTTCAAGGGGGCGCCTCTTGCAGCAGGAGAAAAGCGAATAGAGATATCTGATGGTGTGCCCTGGGGCTGACAAATGTGTTGCAGCATCGTTGATGTACCCTGGGTTTGCTCTGGTCCTCCTCCCCTCCTCCTCCTGCCCCTCCCTCCCTCCTCGTCCTTTTCCTTTTCCTCGTCGTCCCAGGAGGTCACGGGAGTGTCTATGAGGTCCCGGGAAGCTCCATGATTTTGTTGGAAGCCTCAGGAGGCTCCAGGAAGCCCCTGGATGGTCGAGGAGGTCCCAGGAAGTCCCAGGAAGTCCCAGGAAGTCCCAGGAAACCGAAGGAGACCCAGGAAGCCCCAGAAGAGCCCATAAAGCCCCAGGATTCTCTAGGAGGTCCCATACAGCTCCAGGAAGCACCGGGAAGAATCAAGGCCCCAGGAAGCCGAGGGAGACCTCACGAGGCCGAGTAAGGCCCCAGCAACCCCCTAGATGCCTTCACTCGTGCTCAGACTCACTCATACACAGATTCACTTTCAGTCGACCCATTCATCCCTGACCACCCACTCACTCCCACTCAGACTCACCAACACACACTGCATATTGCTCACATTCAGGCTCGCTTACACTCAGACACTAATGTAGGAACATTATAGAAAGAGATGTGCGTATACGGGGATATCAGCATCTAGTAAGTTTATGTGGGGCCTTGGCCTCGAAGGCGCGGATCCATATTTTGCTTCGATTGGTCGTGGCCCTGAAGGAGCGGGCCAATCGTTTTCAAACGATGGATCGTGGCCCCGAAGGTGGACTATTTTTGTCTTGTCGTTTCCTATTTTTGCTTCTTTGGTCTTGTCGTTTACTATTTTTGCTTCGTTCCCAACCATCCTGTGGGATCCTCGTTTTGAAGAGATCCCCACCGCGTCCCACCTCTCCCCTGCCCCCCCCCCTCTCCTCCTCCCACTCCTCCCGTTCCTGCCTCTGCCCGCCGCATGTCGACCATTTCGGCGCACCCCTCACGCGTTCCATGGCCCCATGGGGAGCTCCACGGAAGGCCCCTGAGGGAGCGTTTGCATCTGGGCGTAGCGTTCGTTTCGGCGTAACCCTCACATGTTCCGTGGCCAGCTAGAGAGCTCCACCGAAGGCCCCAGAGGGATCGTTCGCATGTGGACGTCACGCCCGTTTCGGCACATCTCTCGGGCGTTTCGTGGCCCACAGGGAGCTCCACCGAAGATCTCAGAGGGAGCGTTCGCATGTGGGCATAACGCCCCTTCCGGCACACCCCTCACTCGTTTCGCGGCCCCATGGGGGGAGCTCCGCGAAGGCCCCAATAGCACGGTCAGCATGCGGCCCCCACCCCCCCATTTCGGCATGCCCCTCGCGCGTTTCGTGGCACCAGGGGGAGATCCTCCGAAGACCATACTCACAGCTGCGGTACTCACAGCTTCATGTGGTTGGGTTCTGCGCCAGGACTCGCATGGCCACGGTTGTCTACTACGGATTGGCCTCGGGAGCGCGGATCTATAGTTTTCGCAGGCTCGGGATCGTGGACCTCGTGAGCGGTGGGTCGTGGTTTCGGGAGCGTGGGCCTACAGCTGTTTTGAAGGATCGTGGCCTCCGGAGTGTTCTTGAGTGAACGTGGCTCTAGGAGCGTGCGTGTATGGTTTCCAACCATCCTGTGGTGTTGGGTTTTCGTTTTGAACCAGCAGCGCCCCGCGTCCTTCCTCCTCTTCTTGCTTCCGTCCTCCATCCTTCCACCCCTGCCTCTGCCCTCCGCATGTCTCGTTTTCGGCACCCCCCTCACACGTTTCGAAGGCTCGACCGTTCGGGTCCGCATGGCGCCACCGCGCCCATGTCGGCGTACCCCTCACACGTGTCGTGGCCCCACAGGGAGCTCCACTGAATGCTCCAGCGGCAGGGGCCGCATGGCGCCGCCGCATTGATTTCGGCGCACCCTTCACACGTTTCGTGGCGCCGGGAGCTCCTCCGAAGACAGCGGTGGCAGGATCCGCACGGCGCCACCGCACCCATGTCGGCACACCCCTCACACGTTTTGTGGCCCCATGGGGGGCTCCACCGAAGGTTCCCATGGCAGGGTCCGCATGGCGCGCGCCATCGCATTCATTTCGGCACATCACTCACACGTTCTGTGTCCCCATGGGGAGCTCCACCGAAGACGGCTCCCACGACGGCAGTATTCACAACTGCATGTGGTTGGACCCGTCGCTATGATATGTATTTTACTTTTGATCATGGCTTCGGGAGCGCAGATCCATAGTTTTTGCTGGAAGGGTCGTGGATGGGTCTTGGCTTCGGAGGCACGGGACTACAGCTTTTTAGGAGGGACCGCGGCCCCGAGACGCATATCCATAGTGCTCCCAACAATGTTGTGGTGCTGGGTCTTCGTTTTGATGAGACAGTCCCCACGTCCTTTCTTCCTTCGGTCCCCCCTTCCTTCCTCATTCCTCCTCTCCCCTCCCATACCTGCTTCTGCCCTTCGCATGTCCATGTCGGCCCACCTCTCGTTCGTTGCGTGGCCCGGTAGGGAGCTCCACCTAAGGCCCACGTGGCTGCGTCCGCATACCTGGTTCAAACCATTTCGGCGCACCACTCACACGTTTCGTTGCCGCTCCACTTAATGCACCCAGTTGCTGCGTCCGCATACCTGGTCAACACAATTTCGGCACAAACCTCACACGTTTCGTGGCCCCATATGGAGCTTCACCTAAGGCCAGAGTGGCTGCGCTCGCATGCATTATCCTCACTATTTTGACGCACCCTTCACACATTTCGTGGCCCCATAGGGAGCTTCACCTGATGCCCAACTGGCTGCGTCCGCATTCCTGGTCCACACAACTCTGGCGCACCCCTCACACGCTTCGAGGCCCAACATGGGTGCTCAATCCAAGGCACCACTGGCTGTGCCCGCATATCTGGTCCACAATTTCGGAGTACCGCTCGCACTTTTTCGTGGCCCCATAAGGAACTCCACCGAAGGCTCCAGCGGCTGCGTCCGCATGCCTGGTCCACACCATTTCGGCGCACTCCTCACACGCTTCGAGGCCCAACATGGGGGCTCAATCTAAAGCCTCAGCGGCTGCGTCCGCATACCTTGCCCCACCATCCCCTAGCACCGCTCACACGCTTCGTTGCCCCATTTGGGCGCTCCACATAAGGCCTCAATTGTTGCGCCCGCATACCTGGTCCACACCGTTTCGGCGCACCTCTCTCACGGTTCGTAGCTCCATGGGGAGCTCCACTTTCAGGCCCCCAGTGGTTGCGTCCGCATATTTTGTCCACACCATTTCGGCGCACCCCTCCCCCCGTCTTTCACACATTGCGAAGCTACCCTTCGCACCTTGTTGGGAACAAAGGCTACCACGACGGTTCCCCGAAGCACAGTACAACTATGTGTTTTTCATTGCATGTCAGCGCGCATATGATCCGCATGTTCAATATGTTTGCCAATGCGCCGTCGGAGCGCAGCTTCGGTAAGGCACCAGTGGCTGCTCTCGCATGCTTTCTCTGCACTAGTTCGGCGCATCCTTCACACGTTTCATGGTCCCACAGGGGGCCCCACCGAAGGCCACAGTGATAGGAATCGCTTGCGTGAATTATGTTCTCTGCGAGCTGGTGGTTGGAACCGAGCAATTCCCAAGAAACTAGGTCCTAGGCGCATTGTAGTGTTACGACCTGCCTCATCGTACTGACTGGAGTTGATGATCTCATTCGCTGACGCCTGCCCCTCACAGACAGAAGGCTGGCGGATTCGGCATGCCTCCCCTGGTCCTCCTCCCTCCTCCTCCTCCTTGTCCTCCTCCTCCTCCTCCTCCTCCTCCTCTGCATTGCTTCCCTGCAGCCTCCATAGCAGCAGTCTTGTGCCGTAGCTCCGGCATCGGGCGACGGCCTCTTGCCGCACAACGGGCCTGCCTGCAGTCGCTCCTACGTATGCCCTGGCCTGCGCAGACACCGCACCGTTGGGCAACCGTCGCGGGACGCGTGTGCACTCTACCGACCGTCCTCCTCTTCAAAGAGGGGAGGGGGGCGTGTCGTATATCATTTTCCCTGTGGGCTCTTGTGCCCCCGCTCCTAGAGGCCTTGGACCTCTTGGGGCAGATGCCAGCGGCGGGTGTTCCCGTGGACGTCACGTGCTACAACGCAGTGCTCCGCGCCTACGTGAACGGGAACCAGCTG